ACCCAAACTTGAAAACTTCAAATTTTCAAGGCTTGATATATAACAACCAAAAAACGTTCAACATAAGTAAAAATTACATAGTGAACTTGAATATTTTTTATCATTGCCTAATACATAAGAGTTATATTGCAAACAAAAATCACGATACAAACATAAATAAAATTATAATGCAATCAAAATCATGAAACAAATCAATATAAAATTATTACCTTATATTGCAACAAAAAAAATCAAATATTGAACTTGAAAACTTCTTCAAATTTTCATGACATAATGCATAAAAACTATAAATGCAATCTAAATAACGATACATACATATACAAAATTACGGGAGAAGTGAAAAAAATAAAAAAACCTATGAATATCATTAATAGTAAAATAGAAGAAAAATCAAAGAGAAAAATAAATAAATTTAGAGATGTATAGGATTGAGATAGAAGTTGAGAGGGTGTGAGAGAAAAACCAAGTGATGGAGATAAAGAAAAATAGATTGAATGATGAACAATTCATGAAGAAGAGTTAGAGAAAATGAAAGGATTATGTTAAATGCAAACATAAATGAATAATCAATGTTTATAAAAATTAAAAAAAAGATTAAAGAATGATGAATGAAAAAAAAGATAAATAAGTTTCTAACCTTTAGGAGAAACCAAGTCATCAACCTTGGTTTCTCTTTTAATATATATATATATATATATATATATATATATATNAAGATAAATAAGTTTCTAACCTTTAGGAGAAACCAAGTCATCAACCTTGGTTTCTCTTTTAATATATATATATATATATATATATATATATATATGACAAATGCAACAAAAGATGTTATAGACCCTCCACATTTACTGGGGTTTGAACCCCTAACTTTCATGAAGACCAAAAGTTCATATACTACTTAGCCAAAGGCCCTTTTGGCAATCAACGTAAAATGTATGTGTTAGGCTCTACCATATGTTAATGTAGTTTATTATTGATTTTTTTAAATGGTTCTTTTGTAATATGGTTGCTACTTTACATTTATTTGAAGTTTTAAGAATTAAAAATAATTGAACAAAGCCTTTTATGTTATTATAATACACATTGTGTGTGAACTTGTTAAACTATAACATCATGTTCAACATTGTTATAAATTTGAAATAATTTAATACTTTTTTGGATAGGAGCATTAAATGCTTTTGTCGAGGGCACCAAAAACTATATTCCCGGCCCTGTTTTCCATCTCTTGAAATAACCAAACTTTATGCTAGACATATACCTAAGGCCGCTTTTTATAATTTAAAAAAAATATAGATAACTGGTTGCTTAATTTACTTTATATCATTATTTTTTTCATTTTTTATTTTACATATTTATTATATTAACATACATAATTGTATATTAACTAAATATATAAAAATACGTTTTTTTTACAAATTACACATTGTAATCGTTTCGTCAATATGTTCAAAATGAGTCAAATATTAAATATTTTTATTTTAATCATATTATTAAATATCATAAATATGTACTAATTATTTTTTGTACTTACGCTTTATACTCTTGTGGTTATTTATTTTATTTTTTAACCATAAGGGTATAAGACTATGTTTACTCACAATCTATTTCAACCTAATCTCAATTAAAATATTACTTTCTTTCATCCACCTACACAATCTTCAACTCCAACCTAATCTCATTTCTTTTTTCATTTAAGCGTGATCCAATCCAATCTAAAATACAATTTTGTAATATATATATATATATATATATTTATTATATATGATTATTATTTTTTAATTTTAAATATAAAAATACATTAAATGGATTATTGTATATTTTAAAACGTGATTGTAACTATAAAAAACTTATCATACAATTGAAATTAAATAAGACAAATCAAAAAAGTAAGTATGAAAATATATCAATAATGTGCTCTATCTATAGAGAATTGAAAACTACGAATTTTGATATAATTTTTAATCTATAATTTTTTTTGTTAAAGTCACTTTTTAATTGTAACACCCTAAGCTTTCAACACCTTAAAAGATATCTCAAAACGAAAATACTTAACGAGAGCCAGGATCTTTTATAAAATTTATCCAACAAAAGTAATAGTATAACGTTTACAATTCCGCTACAGAGAAGATAAATAATAACCTACTAATCTAGATTTTTTTTTTCTAGATTAAAGACAGGAATTTTCTATCRATCTYCAAAAAGTCGTAACATCAAAACGCAACGCTCGAAAGTAACAAGCCTATAAATACAAAAGAGTCTTTCACGAACCAACGCTCCTCTCGACCCTTTAGAGCCCTACTGCTAAGGAACCTAAAAAGTAATAATAACAAGAAAGGGAGAGGGTTAGGCTTACGCCTAGTGAGTCCAAACAAAGAGTTTACGTAAACATAAAGGAACATATATAAAAATGTACATGCAAATAGTTGCCGTAACTTTAAACAGAAATAGAGACAGTAAGACCTGAATAACTCATAGTGGGACAATAAAACATCCGAAG